ACAATGAGCGCGGCGCGTGTGTCGAGTCGCTGTGCGACTTCGAGCAAGGGGAATGCTTTCTTTTGTGAAGATATGTACGTATTTAATTAAAACTGCTTCGTCTATGGGCAACCTTCGAACAATACTTGACTTACGGGGAGTACTGGGTAATACGATAGTGAATTACAATAATGAGAATTCTTAATTAAGTATTGTTCGTAGGGGCATAAATGTCTATTCATATTGGTTTTGGAAATTTGGGGGAATTGGAACAGCTTGCATAGTTATAGCGATTAAAACAGATTGCAGTTTTTATCAAACGATTTTAGTCAAATTTTATGTCCGTCAAATCAATTGTTTTGTGAATCTAGTGTTAATTATCGAATATGGTACTTCAATCTAGAGTATCTAGGAACGCAGTCCTTAATAAAACAGAACGAAATCATCGCCCTCGTATAATTTTTATTGTAACTCCCGTATAAAACGGATCAGAACAGCATCGAACCAATTAACCGTGTCATTGGAGAGCTGACTCTCTATCTGACAAACGAGAACAGACTAAAAAAAGCAGTCTTCGTTGTCCTCGATATCACGAAACAGCTGTTCGAGGTTTATTCAAAGATTCATTGAAACACGACGAAGAAAATTGCAGCTCCGAGGAACAATTGTAATAACTAGAGCTCTCGCAAATATTATTTGAAGAGCGTAATTTCCTTAGAATACTCCGTATCGTGGTCTGAAGATGGAACTCGACTTTACTTAGGCAATTTAGCGTACACTGACGCTTTATGAACGATTGTTACGCGCTTGTAACCGCGACCTGTGTTGAAAATTGTGTCCGACCACGCGTTGACTGAGTCTACCTGCAAAGTAGACCACCACCTCCGGTCATGGTTTTAATCGAATATTTAAACAGCAGTCGTTGTAAGCGGAATTTACATGTTACGCGTATAATTTACGCTGTTTCGAATCTATATTATGGAAATTACGTATGTTAACGAATTAATTATTAAAACAACTTTTATTGAGGATTATAAGCGGCCGTGCTATAGAAATCCTCGGAATATCTGAAATTTTAAATATTAATTTTGTACTCTGCGAAGAAAATTAACTGACTCGGTGAATCCAGTGTCCCTAAGCTACCCGCGTCATACATTATCGGGCTGCTAAAATTGCGCATTGGTCGTACGGATGTTAATAACGGGATGGACGTGATTTCATACATAATCAACAGTCATCAGTCATGCTTGATCAATATTCAATTGAGGATGTTGTAATGGGTTCTGGTAATTTTCTGCCGACAACTGCGTAATTGGCAAACTCGACATTATTACACAGACTGTTTGAAGATTCTAACATAATTCGACTATAATTCAATAATCGGGAGAACGTTTTCTTTAATATTAGCTTATTTATCAGCTGTAACAGGCATACGAAATTTTAATACAAGTTGCCATTTATCCAAACGAGAATGTTATGTTCATCATTCGATTATTCTTCGAATAATTTGAGATGCCGTTAATAACCCTGAAGTAAGTATACAAATTAGAAAAATGTGAATCTTTATTACCAATAATAATTCATTTAAACAAAAATCCTCCATCATTCGGTTATTCTTGGAATAATTCAAGACGCTGTTAATAACCCACAAGTAAGTATACAAATTACAAAAATATGAATCTTTATTACCAATAACAGTTCATTTAAACAAAAATCCTCCATATGATTATTCTTCGAATAATTTAAGACGCCGTTAATAACCCACAAGTAAGTATACAAATTACAAAAATATGAATCTTTATTACCAATAACAGTTCATTTAAACAAAAATCCTCCATATGATTATTCTTCGAATAATTCAAGACGCTGTTAATAACCCACAAGTAAGTGCAATAATCCCAGAAGCAGTCATAATAGGGAGAAGGCGAAAGGATAGAAGTAACTATATCAAAGTCTGAATTCCCCTGACAATCAAACTATGCGTACACCGATAAGACGACGAGATATCGAATCGACAGCGTAGTTCCGACAAACAAGCGGTAATATCTCGGCGCAGGATTCGCAGAATTCGCCTGCCGGGAATTTAATAACGTCGAGTGCAGTGCCCCAGTGTGCAGTATGCAGTGTGCAGCGTGCAATGTGCAGCGTGCAGTGTGCTCGCAATCGGCAATCCGGAAACTTTCCGTACCTGTAATTGCAACTGATACTCCCCTCTTCGATATTTCGTTTTCACGGAGCCAGCGCACGCAACACGGCGGCGACGCGAACGTTCGCGTCCGCCGGCCTAAACAGCCGCGTTCTGTGCCCTTAACGATCCTTCCGGTATGCGCGAGATCTCCGGGAACATCCTCCGTCCCTCCTCGCCGTTGTTTACGCGTCCGCCTTAGTGCATGGAGTGGACACTTATTTACGGCGCGCGTATACATCATAAACGTTCCGGCGGATAATTGCGCCACGAACGGGGGATTAAGGAGATTACCACGCTCCCGGGATCAGGGAGTAATTGGTTTTGCTCATTGCTATCGCGAGAAACGCGTTGCGATAAAAATACGACGGTGAACATTTCTGGATTGAAAAAAATCGATGGAACACGCCTGAACGGAACACAAAAGGCAGGATTGAAGAGAGGATTCGAATGTTCGTGATAGGTTTAATTACTGAGTCAGCCCATAGACAGTTCTTGTATCCAGCTTTGAACAGTTTAGATCGATGGAACTTCTTTTGATCTGAAATATGTTCTTCGTTATCTATATATTATAGTTGGATTAAATAATGTTTTGTTTATATGAATTTTTGAAAATAAGGGAAGTGTACGAATATTATGTTATTTATGGGATGAATCATAAGGAATGGAATTATAAGGGATGGAATTATAAGGAATTCTAGGGTGCATGGGTGTAAGGAGGTTGAACTGTTAAGTGTTTCATTTGTTCACAGTTTAAGATCAAGTTAGCACTGACGTGACATAATTATTCCGACATCAACCCCTGTTCCGACCCTGTTCACGCCAGAAAGAAGCAAATTAGGTTTGGAATACGGAGGATGAGTGCTCGAGGAAGTTCATCCGGTATCAGGAATCCCGAGAATCGCAGCGAGATAACTGATGGATGGTAATTACCGTCTAAGCTGCAATCATACTTGACTAAAGCTTCAATGAATCCTCGTGGCTTCTAATCTCTCAGAATACACCGATACGTATCACACTAAATTGTGCCCTAATCGTTAAGCAATTTCGTACGTCGCCACCGTCGAAATTTCCCATGAAATTCGCGGTATTTTTCGAACGCGTTCGTCCATCGAGGTGCAGTTTGCTTGGACACTGAGAAAAAAATTTTCAATGCATTTTTAATCCACAATTTTAAACATAATATTAAAGAAGTTTACTCTTGACCGTCGGGACTTAGAAAAATTCCGGCTCGTCTGGATTCGACCATCCCGTTTTTCGGAATTTCTGAGAAAAATAAATTTGCAGTACGTTCCTCTTTTACCAATACAAGTACATATATGTGGTATTAATGGAATTTAAATGTTTTATTTAAAAAAAAACATAGGAATAGACAATTGAATAAAATACAAACAAATAGAAACAGTATAGCTCACAGTGTACAGGTCCTTTTTCTTCTCAGGTCAACGCAATTCTCTCCAAATCTCTCGCCATCACTTAAAAATCATTCTCTCCCCCACAAGCATTCTTCTTACTGACACTTCCAATAACTTCTCAAACACACCCCACTCTCATCACCACGCACTCATCATCCTCGCTTACGCATCCGTCGGAAGAACCCACCAACCCTTGGGCCTGGTCTCCATGAGTCCCTTTCTCTTTTGTGGCCCTCAGAACACTCGCTGTCCCACTGTAACTACGATACTACATATATTTATTAAATAAGTATTTAGCAATGTTCTGAAACGAGTCAAACATAATTCTTCGAAGATGTTTCCAACGAAAACCAGTTTTCTCAAATTAAAAAAAGAAACTGCTGCCTACGGGACAAATGGGTAACGTCTTGAACAGAAACGTAAGAAAAAGTGCCGAGAGTGAGGAGCGTCTCATCCGGGGAAGGTTGAACCGGCGGTGGCGGCGTTCAACGTTAATTAACTTTTGCTAATGAGCGGGACAAAGGGTCGTCCGCGGCGCCGATGTCTGAATGCGCCCGGAATAATGATCAACTAAGGACGGCTGGTTGCGTCATTAATTAGGATACAGGAAAATTTGTTTCGCCGGCTGCCGCGCGCGTGTATCGGCTCCGGCGGCAACCTAATTTTCCTGATGCATTGCGCGCCGGTTATCAGACTGTTCCCTTCGGGGCAATTAATTAGGTCTCTGATGAACGCCGCGGAAAAGTGAGTACAACCGACACAATCGTCGGTCGCTTGTCGGCTGATCGTCTGGGAAACGCGTCGAGTGGATCGGATCCTGCTCGCCGGAACAAGCGCGTCGCACTTCAGGTCACTCTGCGGTCGGCAAACGATACTCCCGTTAAATATCGTGTTGCGAGGAAAATTGTACCGATAGATCTCGCTTCCACATTTGTAATCTGATTTGCGGTTTTACGAACACCTCTGCTAATTTGAGCGTGCACTCGTCTTAATCATTGAAATATGAGCTGTAGAAATGCTTTGTAATGTTATCATGTAGATCGTATGCGCTGAGAATAAAATTGGTCACGATAGATAGCAATATTAGACATAAACTACGACGTTATATTTAGGAACTCAATGACTCGTTAGAGTTTCATTTTTCTAATATCTTGTTTAGAAGATTTATTGGAAGAAAATATAATTGAGGAGACCGTCACCGAAATAATCAGTGGTAGCGAGCTTGTCAAGTATTGTATTTTCTAGGTGCATTCAATTTGGGAATTAACACTTTTATTAACCTTACACGAATATATACGCTATAGGTTCATAGGTTAATAATACTTCAGTTTCTCAACAAGCTTAAATTAGCATTAATTCAATTCTATAATCAATTTTCTCCAAGCTAGACAATATTCTTAACACTGTTTAAAACGTCTTACCTCCGTTGTCTCCATAATTACGATTTCTAATTATCCGGCAATTAACTGTACAGGACACTTTATAATAGCTCGAAATCAGCTGCATATAGGGTCAACTCTCAGGGTTCAACGGTCGCGCAGTATAATTTTTATTCTCCGCGGATCTATTCTAGGACTCAATGGACAACGCTGAAATGCCCAGCGCGGAGGAAATCCGGAAATCCGTTTGCCAGAGGAAAATAAGCAACCGGCAGGTTGAATACGAGCGGCTAGCCGTAAAGTAAGCCTCGCGTCGGCGGCATTGCCTCGAACGCGCGTTAATTAAACGTGGAGATAGCTCTCGTCGTTGCACGTACTTTCCCGCCGGTGGCTTTCACAATAATGGTAGAGACGCTCCTACAGAGAACTTTCACCGTACTAATCGAGTTTTGTCTAAAATATTCCTCGGCAATTTTCCGGTCCGCACCTCCGCCCACCCGTTCCGCCCACTCCTCGTTGCACCTCCGGGACACAGGTTAAGGTTAAATCGCATCGATTTTTATTAACACTCAAACGACCGATTAAAATAAAATAAAATCACGTGTCTGTAAGGAATATTTTTACTCTTTAACCCCTTGCCCTACAACGAGTGGACTCGTGGTGAAGATTTTCAACGTGACTCAACAAATATATATATTACTCAGTTCATTCTAATGAAAATATTATCCCTCTGTAATTAACTGTTATAGTTAAAAGGAAATACAGGCATAGCATTTGCTTAGAATTTTTCTCTTTTTCCAATAAATTATTAAAGAGAAAGTAGTTGTACCGATCAGAGTTCAGAAGGAAATCATAGGCCAAGGGGTTAACTTTGGGATGGTTTGTTCATTTTTATTTCTCCTTATTTTCAATTAATTTCTAGTTTTTTATTTATTTAGTTAGGTACATTTGCGTTAAACTATGTCATAATATACAGAGAAATGTGAATGAAATTATGGTTGAAATAAGACGCTTCAAATCGATTTTATGATAATATTACAGATTATAAAAATATGTCGATTCATTAGCGATATAAGAGAAACAATGGAAAAATCCAACGCCGGTTATTTAAGTGTTAATATTCCAAGGGAATTAAATCACCGGACCGTCGACACAATGGGAAATATTAATTTTCCGCGTATTTCATTTGCGTTCACGGATTGACACTCCCTGCAATGCTCGTGGTATTGTTTGGATAATATTAGCTTAAAGAGACCATTCAATTATCGAATTGAAAGTTACCGATGCGAATTGTTGGCTTAACCAGAAAATCCCGCTGTTTCTCTTTGAAAAAAAGAGAAATTCGTTTTTATATCTGAATTGTTTATACATCAACTTTCCCATTTTTCGCCGGTCGTCAATGGAAAGAGAAAAATAAATCGCATCGTGCGCGCGATTCAAAGGGAAAACATTTGGTTTCAACGCAATCCCAACACAATAAATAACGTACAAATCGCATATAAAAAATCGTTTATCGTTAAAAGTAATAGAGGGCAGCCTTTAAAATTGTCCTCCAACTTTTAATTAAACACAATTTTCCATAAAACGCGTCGTTAATTTAAAAAAACAATGTATCCGTTTCGCAGACAATCCAGCGTATTCCAGAAAAATTCATTAAAACGTGGATCAGAAAATTAATTACAAAAGAATACTTTCGTGTCAGGTAAAAACGAGCTCGTCTCCAATAAAATATCCACTGATATAACGTAACATTGTTAAATACATCGCTGCCTTTCGAATATAACCTACGTGAAACCCTTAGCCACGCGCCTGCGAATCTGTTACTCGATCCCTAATGAGTGCCCCGGAAAAAAAGCCATTCCAAAGACGTCGGATTACGTTGCTGTGCTCAAAGTAGTCGGCGTATTCAGACGAGCCGCGGCGCAAAAAACGGCAACGCGAGAAGATATCTCGAGGAGATTAACTTCTACTTGAACTCGCAGCCCCGAGGACAAGATCACGTTACCCTGACGTTACGCCGGCAAATTTATAGGGACTTTATTAATCGCGCCGCCGTTGAATCCCCTAAAATACGAAGAAGTTCGGTCCCCAGCTTCCGCCCTCGGTCCCTTCGCCGATGATTTACGACTGGCCTGCCGGATCGAGAAACCGTCAAACTTTTTCCCCCCTTCTTATATTCCTCCTTTTTTCTCGTTATTCCCGGTGCCTGTGAACCTTAAAGCGAAAAGTTCCCGCCGAAGTTCGCCGAAAGCATCGGGTCAACGTGCAGGTGTCAGGCTTCGCCGGTACAAACCGATATTAGTAAAGCGACCGGCGGAAAGTTCGATGGGAAACTTGCGCAACTCCGAGACGCCATGGTTCGAGAATATTTTCCCGGGCCGTGAACTGTCCTCTGGATTGCCCGACGACTTTCGAGGAGTCTCGTCGCCCACCCCGATTCTTTTTTCGGCTCGCAGGACACGGAGTACAGGGGAACACGGCGAACACCCATTGACACAGAAGCGCGCTGGAACTTTCAGCGACCGTTCGTTCGTTCGACGGACCATCGTTTCCACGGCACCCCATTTCTCGAATCGTTCCCGAGGAAAAAAGGAGGGTGAACGCTGGGTATTGTTCCTGCCGCGTCCGGTGGATTGGAAAAGCCGAGAATCGCAGGAAATTAAAGGCAGCTTGTCGGAGGCAGTAAAGGAAGATTCGATTTCAAGACTCGCTCGAGGACCGTACGTACCGGACGATTCAGAGGTCCACGGGCTCCGTCGGTTTCACGATTAGATCCACGATAGCTGCTTCAAAGTGATTCGGGTATCGGACTTGGCGGTTGAATTTGTAGGAGGTTAAACGGGAAATTAGACACTTGTGAAATCGCCGTGCTGTTTTCTGCGTTCGTTTGGATTGATCATTAAATGGAGAGCGATCCGACGTGTGGTACATTGAAATTATTGGTATCGTTAGATTCTATGATACGAGAGAAATACGTTTGACAATCAATTTTTCCGCTGTAAAGTTCGAAATATGTGGAAACAACTGCACGGAGTCGTAAGCGAAATTACTGCTCGAATCCTGAGTGGCTTACATAAAAGCTGTTACCGGGAGTAGATTCTACAGAATGAGCTTTCATGGAATCACGGGTGCGTTCAAATCAATTTCACCGGGAGAAAAAGCTTGTCCAAAAAGGACCGTTCAACTTTTTCCATCTGCATAGATATGTACGTTCGTGTTCGGAATCACCTGTTGTTTGCCGCTGCAATATGTTCCGACTGCTTGTACTTCATGTAACATTTTTCTATTTCCAGACCGTTTTATCCTTTATTGAAAACTCTGCACCGTGAAATCCTCGGGTTTTAAAAATCGAACGAATTTTTATGCAGAAATGCATATTTTACTGTTTCTTGAACGCGATATCTAGAAGAATATATACGTGCGACGCGGTTTCTCAGTTCGGTCGTTACACGGAGCAAGAATTATTTTCCCGTTACATCGGGCAATCGGCACGCGACACGGAAAATGAAATAGATTCGCTCAATTTCATTAGACACCGGACGCCACATTCCGAGCGAAAGCTCAGGAGGCACGGACGTCCCTCTTTTTTCCCTCTTTTTTCGGCTGACGAGGAATTAGTGCCCGTTGCGTGTGGCAGTCGATATTTAAAACGCGCGGAATAAATCAGAGGCGACAGGTATTGATCGGGAATGATATAGCAGGACTTTCTGAATGGAGAAGAAGTCGACGGTTGTCGATGCGGCCGCGAGTAGACTCGCGATACGCGTACATTAACACTAAAACTACCGGACGAGTCAAATGACCCATGCCCGACGTCTCCTTTTTACAATTATTAGAAAGGTAACGAATGTTCCTCTGAGAAATTATTAACTCTAGGTTTACGGGACGCGTCAGATTGACGTATAATGGATTTTAGAAATATTATTTTGTAAATGTTTACGCCGATTTTGATTGATGCGATCACACTGACATGTACCCCAATTACGTACTATCAAATCTCCAGTTTCCACAATCTAGATAAACGAGCATCAATTCTTTTTGGAATAATAGAATGAAGTGTAATAAATGTCCGTAAACCTGGTGTTAAAGAAATTCATTTAGCACTACGCAAATTGAATTGTAAATCAGTTAAAGTCTGAACAGATGAACTCTTGGAGTTTCTATAGCGAAATTTTAAGTCGATTGAACTGCTCAGTAGTTTTAGTGTTAACACTAAAACTACCAGACAGGTCAAAATGATCCACTTCTGATTTCTTCCTTTCGCAGTTATTAAAAGATAACAGGTGTTTCTTCGAGAAATTATTAAAAAATTGATTTAGCAACACGAAAAGTGAATTGTAAATCAATCAAAGGTTCAATAGATGCACTCTTGGAGTTTCTATAGCAAAATTTTAAGTCGATTGAACTGTAGTTTTAGTGTTAAGGTCGTTTCATATCATTCGCTCGGAACGGTTACAGCATGCGTTCGAATGAAAACATTTAACGTTTACACTATCTGTTCTAACATGCATATCCGGCCAACACATGCAGCGAACGTAATATTCCTGAATGGCTGTGTTGCAGTGCATATAAACATTGGTGTTTTACTCCCTGCAACAATGTCCGATCCGAACGTACGTAACCTCGTTGTAACCATTTTGCGACGGTATAGACGTATAATATAAATAATACAAATGTAAATGTAAATATAAATATAAATGTAAAGCAACCTTTAACCGTGCGTTGCCAAGATATTATATGTGCTGATATAATAATTCTTTCAGAGCAAGGATAAATAATATTAGAAACAATTAATAATTAACTGATGTCACAGTTCTCGTGTTATAGTATTTTCTAGTTACTTAGGTTATTGCTGTTATTGTTACGTTTGTGTTCCTTGTATATTATTAATGTTTCAGTTTTATTCGACATTAATTGTTCTATTAGAATCGTTCGCAAATAATTCAAATGTGTCAGTGACCGGTGACCACCGCGACAGTTAACGCGTTAACCATAGACTGCACGAGACCGACCGATTTTCAGATACTGCCGGAACGCGCACGCGAAACGCGGAGACACACATTAATTTCATTATTGTTCCACGCTGGACGGAATAGATCGGCCGAGCACGCTTAATTAGCCCGATAATTAGCCCAGATCGGGGAACTCGGAAAATCGTATAATTTCAATAATTTTACAAGTTCTGTCGTTGTATAATAACCAACTGCAGAATTAATCGAGAGCGTGAGTTCTATTTTTGTAAATTGATAATAATTCAACGGACGCAAAAACGCTCAGTAAATT